GATTATACATGAGCACAAATACACATCATTAAAACACTTATTACGCGCCCTTTAAAAGATGTGCGCACTGCTGACATGATTATGCTCAAACTGTACTTGCTGCAAGAAGTTGGTCAATAAAATGGTATCTAAGAAACATGTTGTTAGTAATCGATTTCACCGGCGTTTGCCATTGGTCGATAGGAATAAAAAGGTGAATTAAAATGAATGAAAATTGGGGTTTCATAAACAAATTTTGTTTTTTTGCTATATCAGGTATCATAATCATTCTCTCCGATTATGCAATCCGCGAGGCGGCTGCCTTGCCAATTATGAGTTCCAAGGAAGGCTCACAATGTTTAACCGAATAAGGACGTAACAAAAAAAAGTCACACTCTGACAGTTGTTTCATCCAGTTATCTGTTATGTATCGGCAGAAGCGAATTCGGGTGTCCACACTACTGATCTTGCCTCCGCTTATACAAGTTAGCATCTGAGTGTATTCTAGCTTCACTTGCAGATAGCTTACTTCTTAGTATTTGTATCACGAGGAAAAGGAACCTTTTTTTTAAAAAGAGCTCTATAAAAGAGGATCTGGAGATGTTGTGTTTCAACAGAAACACAAATGTGATTGAGGTAACTTTCAATGAAAGTGTCGCTTGCCGGTTAAAATCGCCTGTGAATTGCATGCACACGTACGCCTCGGACAATAAATACAACACTTGGTCTAGTTTTTGCTGCTCCTGAGATTCCGGGAAGCTGCACTATCTTTCTATTTGCAAAATAGTTCGAATAACGACGTCCCAACTTTGCATTCTAGCCCTAGTCTGGACCAAAACCTCTTGCTATAGTAGATGCTCTATATAAGCGCGCGTGGCTGTTGTAGCTCATATTGTCAGCAATGGCGATGCTAGTTTCACAATAATCCCTTCTTACGGAACGCGCCCTGCATGCTTTTATTTTTCATGACTTATGAAATAGAAAGTATAGACAATACTAGACAGGGGACGGTTGGCAAGTTCGGTCGTCGGGGGCAGCACCAAAGAAAACAGAGATCCCACGGGTTCCAGAAGCGATGTTTTCTTTTTGGCTATAGCTTTTCGTAATACACTGTGGACCAAAGTCATAATGCAATACATTGACACGCCGTAGGCCAAATAACGCTAGTTTCTTTCACAACATATGTTCTTGATTGGTTTAAAACAATTTTCACGATAGAAAAATTCACAAAGTGAATTCGCGGACCAAAGAAATCGCAAAAGCATTCCGCTTAATATACTTGATGAAAAATTGCAAAATAAATATGGAGCGTCTCACAAAGCAAATACTGATATTTAGTTTTTACTATTTAGTCGGAGAAATTTCGTATAGTCGGAGAAATTCCCTATGTACTGTGGGGGATTCCCACAACTGAATACCCAATTTTCACATGGTTTCCCGGGTGCGTGTTGGCGCTTAGCATTTGTGTCACGCAAGGGTTTATCAAGGACCCATTCTAATGTTAGTTACGCGTCTGTTGCAAGTTCACATATCACTATTGCGAATTATAAAGACAACGTGTAATCTTTCTAAAGTTTCGTAATGCAACCAGGGCAAGCGAGTGTGTTCCCTAAATCGAGCCTGACGTTGGAGGACGATTTTCGCAGTTTCCTATAGTTGATGAGAAAGCACCACCAACATTTATTTTTAGGAGTTGGCCATAAGTTGTAGCAATGGAAGTTTCCATACTATTTTCTCACAATTTTATTTTGTCGTAGTTGCGCATTATTTAGTTTTTCTTTTCTTGAGATAACGCTCACGAATGTCATGATCAACCGAATTTCACGGGTGTCCTCTTGTCACAACTATTTGCTTAGCGTAAACTCACCTAATTGAGAAATTGCACTTCAGGCAGCTGGCCGTTTGAGGAATTGTCTGAAGACAAATTGGCAGTGTGATACTTTAGACCCATGTTACGGATAAAAAAACAGGACGCGGAATTGTCTGAAGACAAGTTGGCACTCTGGTACTTTAGACCCATGTTACGGATAAAAAAAAAAACAGGATCAACCGCGCTCGGCTTTGGCTAGCAGACGGCGTTCGTAAAATGGCGTCAGCTGTTGCTGGTAGGGTGCCTTCATGTGCGCTTTGCTTAGGGTGGTGGCATCTCGCCATTTTGTCACACACGTTTATTTTTATTTTTTGTTCAGGAGCGCGTGAAAGAGCGTGTCCCTGCACGCGCTTGTGGCGCTGACTGTGCTATGGCGACATTTTGTTTTCGTCGGTTTCTTTGTATTTTGACCGTGAGCGCGTGCTGCCGGCATCTGGTACTACAAAGGGTGGCATCACCCTAAACAGAAGGACATTGAGGCACCCTAGTTGCTGGCTTCACGCGGTGGTACCGTGCGTGCTTCTATTCATTCGGCGTTCGTTGCCATGGTGACGGCGAGAAAGGCAGACGAACTTTATGTTGCGGAAGAACGCTGCGGCGCAGCGATACCAGGTGCGTTCTAAGGCCCTTCCCGTATGCTTTTCAAAAGGCGGAAGGCGAACAAAAAGAGTTCGAAATAAGGACTTAATGCAGAATGCTGAATTTCTCCAGCGTCTCATGATTTGACGAGCCTTGCTCGAAAAGCATGTTTTTTTGGCCATCCCGCGCCCTGATTGTTTATCCGTAACATGGGTCTAAAGTATCAAACTGCCCATCACGTATAGAAGTTTTGCAGCAGCTGTGCATGGGCACCGCCATAACTGACCTTCAGTTTTTTTCCCCTTATTACGTTTACTTCACTTCATTATAACCACAGCAGGCCATGTTATCGCCATCTTAGATTTTATTCTGCCTTTCTCCCCAGCACTGGCTTTTGTGGAGGCTCTTCCACACCAATTTCAGTGGGTCGGTATCTCGGTAAAACAAGAGAAGGTCAGCAATGGCGGCTGTATTCTGGTGTAAAGCGTCTATAGGCTCGAAATATTATAAAAATAGAAGATCCCTTCGAAGCCAGCAAGAAAAGAAAACGAAAAAAAAAATCCAAATGAATGTTTATGTTCCAACAAAAAGCGCAGGAGGGAGCAAAATTTAACCTATCAGTGACGGCGCCTCTAAGATTGGCAGAGCATGGCTTGGTGAACGCAAGGTCGGCCATTTTTCACATATCCCGCGGCGTTTTAGCGACCCTCCAGCGCCACCAACGAACCAGTTTTTTTTTTTTTTTTTTTGACGGCTCGGAAAATTCCACTGGGGAACACAAAAGGGACGAGTACGGCAAGAGGAGAGGCCATAAGTCAAGGAGAGGAGGAGGCTCCCGAGAGAATTCGGGGAGACAGTGTACGACATCTGCGGCATTGTCGGGATGTTTTTACTTTCTCGGGAAGACAGGGCATGAAGCTGAGAACGGGACATGCATGGGCAGAGTTTACAGCGTTTCCTCCACCTCTGCTTGTTGCTTGAAGCTGCCGAATGTGACATGCCGATGAATACGCAATGCTCTCCTAAGCGTAGGTTCCCGCGCTTCCGGCAATCTCGGGCCTTCGTTTCATCGGCTTTGCGCGCGCCCCAGGAGCAGTCATCGATACCGAAGAGATCTTCAACGACCGCATTCATCACCGGACCTTCGGGGGATTTGTGTGCTGTGTGTGGTGTCATGCGCTTAGGCAAAGCATGGGCGACAGCGGAATAACTGTGACATAGTGCGTGCTCTTAAATGTGTACAGACGTCAGCAAACATCTTCCGGGATTGATTTCAGAATGAAGTTGCGGTGAGCTGACCCCCGATATATCCGTTACAAATTAGTGTCTCCTAATAATGCATATGCCTTTTATGCGGATTTCTGGCCATAGAGCACAGCGCTACCATTTACCTTGTGCATTGGGCCGGCTTTCTTGGAGCGAGCAGCAAACATTTACCTGAGCAAATATGAGAGAAAAAAAAATCAAAGGCGCGTGTGGGTAATGTAATTAAGACATGTCGAATAAAATGCCTATGCCACGCTGGTTTCTTTCTTCTGTCTAAACAAACTTTGGGAGCTGTATGTGACTGGAGTGCATGGAAATACCTTGCCCTAAAAGGTGATATCGTTTTTGCAAACACGTCAAATTGTCTAATGTTCACGCGACTTGCAAACGGGGTCATTTGACTCTGGTGGCGAGACTCTGTCACGCTGACTCTACCAACCTCATAGAATCAGGTGACTCCCTGCGTGCCAAGTGGGGTCACTTGAGTTCAGGCATTTACTATTCTCATTTGACTCCAGTGCTTTTGAGGGAGTCCGAACCGCATCAGACTCCTTTTTGCTGCCAGATGGAGTACCTCGACGCCATCACGCGAAAATGGGGAGTCAAAAGCGCATTTGACTCCACCTGACTCCCTTTTTTTCTAAGAGTGTACTTCTTTGACGCATCTCACGTACATGGACCATTGTGTTCTGCTGCGTTCCCTGGGCAATGGAGGAACCAGGCACGTATCCAGGGGGGCCCATGGGGCCCGGCCCCCTCCCCCCCCCCCCCAATATCTTCCATTTTGCTGGGGCCTCCTCTCCCTCCTCCCCCTCATACAGCATTTGGCCTCTGCCCCCCCCCCTCCCCTCCCTCCCTCCCTCCCTCCCTCCCTCTTCCGAAACAAGACCCTGGCTAAGTGCCTGGGAGGAACACGGGCGCTTCACAAGACTGATACACGCATGTGTCCTCACCACATGCAGTTTATTCAGGGAACACAGAGCTGATAGCTCAGGTGGTAAAGCACTTGGCTCACACACAGTAGGCCCATAGTTCGATCCCTGGCAGCGGCAAAGTGTAACAAATGTTTTAGAGCATTCATCAATATCGACGACGGTTTCTCTACACCATCATTTCAAAGGGGGGTGAAGAGCCCATAACAGCTATCGCTTTAAAATGAGGTTGAGAAAAAGCATGTGAGACGCCTATAACATATTTATTGTATTTCTGTTTTTTTGTTTTTTTTTTATATGCTTCTACATAGCAACATTTTTTTTCTTTTTTTTTTAATAATCATTTTCTTATAAAATAATTGCACTATTTTTAGGCCTTCGTGTTCAGACGACGATGGGAACACCTTCATTTTCCCCAAGCTTGGAGCTCTCCATGATACGATCATCTCTGGCAAACCTCTGACATCTTCATCATTCCGAAAGATTGTGGAGCTCCTCTTTCGTGCAATGGTGAACATAACAGTGTAAGTAAGGTGGTCTCAAAATTCGGACTTATTCCTAGCTTCATCATTTCCAGTTCCTTTCATGGGTGACTTCTTTGTGGGCACCGGTCAACCTTTGTCTTGCTGTATCTTTCTGTATCCAGCTAAACCTATGTCTTAAATCACAGTATCGAAGCAGGTGAAACTGATTTTTGCAATATATTTGAAGTGGGTTTAATCCCTCTAACCCTCCTTGTATAAAAAAAAAAAAAAGTAATTCGGAAAAAAAGCTAGGTTGCTTCTTTCTGGTCCTTATCTTGCCAAATTTTGTGCAGTGGTAAACATAGTAGATTGATGGCTTATTTGCGTTGTTTCACAAGTGCATCTTTGTGCTGAATTTTAGGCTTCTTGGTCGAGACCGCTGCGCCAAAAATGAAATTAGTCAGTTCAGGCTAGAGAAATGTTTGGTTAGTTAGGTCACTTCTTGTCATTTGCTAGAAGCAATCCATGCCCTCGCTGTATTTACAGGTGTATGTGTTGCTGGTGTGAAAAATTAATGGAAGCTTTAAGTAACTTGCTCGTTTTCCTTCAATAGGACAACATGTCTCTTTGTCGAAATTCATATTACAAGAATTTGCTAAGCGGAAAATGTGTAGATATTCCTTTTTTTTTTTAAATATCTGAAAATTTGGTGCGACTAGTTATAATCGATTGGGGGTCATTGGCATGTTTAAAACATTGATGCACTGTGTACCATCTGAACAATACCTTGCATCTTCCTCGCATAGGCTCAGTCAGCATACGGGACCTATTGATTCACAATGTGGGTTATAATATTAGAGATTGTTGAGCCATAAGAATGGGCACGACTTTTCTGCAGGTTCCCATCTCAGCACTTTTACTCCAAGGTCACTCAGCTACTAACTGACAAGTACCCTCAGCTCCAAGATGTTATAGGAACTGGATCAGTAAGCACATTTCTTTTGCACGTTTATAATAATAGCTGCGATCAATTCTTAGCATTGGTGCTTCTATACATCTTTCCAAAAAACGCTCCTAGGCCGCCGCCATGTTGCTGATGCTGATGCAGCTGGCCCTCTATCAGCTAGAAATTTTCTGCCACCCTCTTGGACTGTGAACACCCGCTCAGTGCGGTTCTCTACCTGTTTTGGCGGTTTTGCATTCAACGTTTTCTCGCCCCTCTTGAAAGTTCCCACTTAATTTTTTTTATGAGTGCTGCATACCCTTTCTGTGTTATCTTCCATTGTGATATATAAGACTGGTAAGTGCCTGCCATTCAAGCTTTTCTGCTCGACATTCATGGGAAACGAAGGAAGTGATGGACGTCGAACTGCCCTCAACGCGATTTTGCAAACATTCTTCTCCCCCCTCCCAGAGATAATCCGCATAGAATCCTCGGTCATCTCCAAAAATAGTTGTCTGGGTTGGGGTGGGAAACGGGTCAGTCGCGTTTGTTCCTTTACCTTGGTGCTTTAGTGAAAAAGAAAGCTCTCCCCAGCTCAAAGGTGAAAAGAGTATAGCTGGACGCCATAATTTCATTCCTTGGCGCAGGAACGATTCCCTTGGTAGGCTCCCAATAACTGATATCGCAGCAAAAATGCTATGGCTGGACCTAAATTTAAATTTAGATAGTTGTTCAAGCTGTGGTATTTCTTTATTTTACAGGACTCGTGGAGAGTAGCACTGCGGTACAAGTTCAAAAATGAAAGACGTCGCCTTTCAGACGACGTCCGGGTTGCTGAAAACCGTGCAAAATTTGGATCAAAAAGACCAAATGATGGAGGTGCAGCCACACAGCTGAAGCGGCAAAAAAAGATTAAGCTGGTGAGGGGCAATGTTTAAACTTTCCGGGATAAACTTGGAAGATCAAAAATTGCTGATGTGGTTCGGATGCGGATATCGTGTCTGCATAGTGGATGATCAAATTGTTATCTACGCATGGTTTTCTTTCTACTCATCAGTGTCTGCCTTAGAAATCAACGAAACGCTTCCATCAATCAGATAACGCGAATCGGGAAAACTACAATGGTTTATCCCGTCTCCGCGAGTAGGTGGAAGCATGAAATGCTTTCGAGTGGAAAGGATTCGGAAAGATGATGATGGCAGGGAGCTCGATTCATTCCGATTCGATGGTTGGCACTCACTGGAAGCTCACCTGAGATTGGAGATCACCTGGAAGCTCTCAAGATCCCAGGCGAGCTTCCATTAAGTGTCAATCAGTGATTTGGAACCAGTGGAGCCTCCTGCAATCGTCCTTCTTCTTGGGTCCTTGTCTCACAATGTCCATAAGATCTGAGAACATGCAGCACTCTAATGAGCAGAAAGAGTACTACCCTTGTCGCACTATGGTTTTCGAGATCACTGGCACGTAAAGCTCCTTGCACATCGCCAAAGAGCTTTGCACATGAGCAATCTTCAAGACTTCGTTAACACTACAATTTCTTCCTGTTGTGCGACGGCCATGTTCAGTAGCATACTTGAAAACCTTAATCTTCAAACCGCATGTTAGCTAATGTATGAAACCATCGTGGAAACCCCACGATCGTGCTGTTGGGGCAACCATAAGCTATAGACATTTGCAGAAAAAGCTCTCTGGCCGCCGCCATTTTGCGAACCAAGCGGCCCCTACCAGCCATAAATTTCTGCCACCTGCCTGAGCTGTGGAAACCCGGTCAGCATGACTCCCCAGCTGCATTGTGCATTCAGAGTTCGCCAACTTTTCTTGGAAATTTTTACTTTATTTGCCTGTTTAGGATGCTTACCCTTTGTGTGCTATCATGCACTGTGAGAACCAGGGAATACCAGGGCTCATAGCCTGCTCGGCCTTCGCAGGAAACAAACGAAGAGAGTGAACGTCAAGCAACTCGCGAGTCGTGACGGAGGCAGTTCGACATTCTTGAAGGATTATTTCCGTTGAGATAATCTCCAGAAAGCCTTCCCGACTTGTGTTCCGAGTCTTCGCGAAAAATAGCTGATAGGGTCGGGTCCGGAGTGTTTGCTTTGAAGCTGTGCAAAAAAGCAGCTCTCTTCTACATGTGCCCAAAACACGCCGGATTCCGTCTGATCGTCGTGAAGTTACTATCGTCGACACTGTTTATTGGATATGCTGTGTTATTTGAGACCTTTCTCAAATCCTGTTCGGATAACGCGGCATTGTGGGGTACGTACAATATATGTTGTTCGATTGATGAGACTCGTTGAATTTCATTTTGTGGGCGAGTAAATCTATGCAGTTTGAATATCCTGTGCGGTCAAATATTTTTGACGGTTAAGATCTTTGTAGATTGACAAGGCGGAGTGTATGGTGCCGTAAAAAGACCAACATAAAATAAAACAAACATCCCAGTTGCATTCGTTCTGTCGCTCACGGACTCACCAAAACAGCTTTCGTTGCTTTGTTTTTGTTCTCAAAAATAGTACAGAGCATTCTTAAAAACCCCGGGAAATTCTATTTGCCATAGAATACAAAAGAAAAATAGAACACGGCAATTTAGCCTCCACCAGCGTCCGAAAGTGTGCCCACGCAGGCTGCCACAGCCCACTGACGAGAAACTCCACAGCTCAGCGCAGTCTGGCAACACTGACTTATCCTCTCAAAACCAGGGATGCCTGCTGTAAATCGCTTCGTTCGAGACTGCCGCTTGAAAGGTCTATAGGCAACTTTCAAAAATCCTGCCATGCAACATTGCATGCGTTGCACGCTCGGAACAGTTGGCTGCGAAGCTGAGTGACATGGTTTCAGTCGAACAGGCGTTGTCTCTGCTTGCGCGACGAAACATGTGCAATCGCAAGTATGCTGAAGTTTCTCTCGCGTAAAACATCAACCAAGGCACCTGCAATTTTTTTGCTTAAAACCTGGCATGCTCGAAACCAATAAAATAGTGGCCAGTGTTTTTTTAATTGCTTGGCGACATTTATGGTATTTTACACTTGTGGGATGTCTCAGTTGTGAAAATGAAGTAGCGAGTTCCATTATGACACAATAATCATGGCAAATATCTGAAGCCGGAACTAAATGGCCCGCTAGTACCCGGAATTCATTTCTTGGCATCTCCTCACCAGGGGCCGCCCCGATTCGGAAAAAAGCTTATTGCAAAATGGCGGAAGGTTCATTTCTTCCCACGACCCCGGCTTGGCTTGGCCACCTGGAGATGGAGGTCGTTCCTTCCCATGATCGTCTAGCTGTTTATCGCTCAAAGTGGCGCATAAAAAAATTTGAACGTTCCCACCTCGTGATACAAAGTTGGGGGTGCATTTATTGAGCAAGGTGCAAGGAAATATGTTATATATTTTTATCTGGACTGTTTCCTTTTTTATATTGTGTGTTTTCTACTGTTTGTGCTCCCGTAGGGTAATGCCTTGGGCAATGTTAGGTCAAATGATTGAATTCAATTTTACCTTATCAGAAATTTTGGCATGCTAAGAGCATCAAGCACTAAAAAGGTAGTCAGTTGTTGTCCTTCTGTTAATGAATATTCATGTCTAAATCGCGCCCTTTCGATCATGCCTCTCAAGAACATCACTGCTTCGGCTTTGGCTGGAGAGGACGAAGCCAGCCTGATCGCCCATGAGGAATGGCTTATACGAGAAGGACGAAAGGCAGCTCCTGATGAAAAAGGAATCCATGAAAGGATGACTCTCACTGCGAGGAAGAGGCTCTCTGACATGGCACAAATGGGCATTGATGCTGTTAGGACAAGGTACCCATACCTGATGGACTCTCAGCGAGTGAGTCATTGCTGCTACTCTTCCGCTTTATTGAATACGAAGGTGTTGTTGACTTTTTTTTTGTACTCTTGTTTGAATACAGAAACTCTTATTGAAGGGACACTGACAGGGTGTTTATGCTCGCCGATGTTTTTAGTTGTACATGGCTTATGAGAACCCAACTGCCCAGAACAGAATTTGAGGCTCAAAATTCAGTTTCTTTCCGCCCGAGGACCGCCACGAGAACTGGCCGGTTCGAGTTGCGCTCTCTCTCTTTGTGATCACGGGCTGTTTTCTAAGGTTTAGACACAACCACCAAATTTAATCAAAGTCGTGGGTCATTGAAGGCACACAGTCAATATTAAAAATAGCAAAAAGATGAAACCCTTTTTTTGTGACTTCTAAAAAGCTGTTAATAAGATTATTGAGGAAAAAAAAAGTTGCACAGAGAACCGGACGCATTCTGTGCATTTCCTCGTTCAATAGCCCTTTTGCGAAATCCCCCAAGCGCCCTGGCCCGCGCGCGAGGAATTGTGGGAGAGACTGTCCCTGGCCTGGCCACTCTGCCTTGAGATCGCATTGCCTCGTCGCTCGTCTCCTCATAATCTTGTTTTTTGATTTCATTACCTATTTTTATATGTTCAAGTGTATATTTATTGGTTCTAAGTGTTTCTATTTTCTTCTGTGCGCAGTATTTTTTGCATATATATAGTTTTTGTCTTTATTATGCCTTTTTCGACGGGAGTGCTGACGAACAACAGGCCGCTTCGCGTGTCGTTCTCCGGGTGAGTGTTATCGTTGCTACTGGTTCCTGTCGTGCTGTTAGCTGTTCATTTTGGTTCACTTGACCCGCGTGCAGTCGTGAGGAGCCGTTTATGAACACCCACGCAGATGTCATAGGGGTAGGCAGACTCTAAATCAAGAATTGCGACGCGAGAGCAGAGTGCGTTGTGATTTAGCCGCCCGCGCCTGCTCCGTTGACTCGCAGTGCAGCGTATGCCTTCGGGTGCCGCTTGCTTGACCAAGATACAGCAAGCTGCTTTGTCGCTGCGAACCATTTGTCCGAATGTTTGCAAAGCTGAGGCATATGCAACGCTGTGGCGTTTGACAACTGCGCGCTGCGGTGCGATCCCTTTGCAAATGCCGACGGCTCAATGTCGCGGCTTGAATGTGCCTATGGCATGCCTTCATAATCTTTCTTTTAAGCGGTTGTCATTTGCCAACGCCCTTTTTCAAGTGCAGAGATAAGTTGCCGCGAATCATTTGTCCGAATGCCTGCAAAGCCGTAGCACCGTTTGTCATATCCAACGCTGCGGTGCCTGACAAACTGCGCTCAGCGGCGCGAGCCCTTCGCAAGCGCCGGGCGGCCCAACATCGCGGCTTGTGTGCGCTTATAGTATGCCTTCTTAAACTACTTGCTAAGCGGTTGTCAGTTAAAAGCACCCCTTTTCAAGTGCAGAGGTGTGCTGTCTCCCAGGCAGTCATCTTGAAACTCGTAGTTCCTTCGATAATTTTATTTCTCTAGTCAAGATGTCAGCTCAAGGTATTTTATTTCTTTAGGTCACCTTCAGCAGTAACATGCCCTCATAGTACAGTTTGCTGTGTGCCAGGCTGTACAAACAGTACTGCCGGCGGACGGCATGTTTCCTGGCACTGCTTCCCAAAAGACAGCGTCCTGCGAAGCGTTTGGGTGAAGACAACTGCGTGCAGTTGTGAGGCGCTGCAAAGTTGGACATGCCGAACAGTGTTACGGTTTCGCAGGCATTCAGACAAATGATTCGTGACAGCAAAGCGGCGGGCTGTATCTTACTCAAGTAAGCGGTATTGAAGGCACATGCTACAGTGCCAGTCAACTAAGCGACGCGAGAGCCGAGTGCGATTGAGCCACCTGCACTCGCTTTGTTGACTCGCACCGCACTCGGCTCTCGCGTCGTGATTGTTGATTCAGAGCTCTGCCTACCCCTATGACATGGGTGCGGGTGTTCATAAACGGCTCCTCTCGACTACACCTGGGTCAAATGAACCAAAAATGAACAGCTAACAGCACGATAGGAATCAGTAGCAATGGTAGTACTCACCCGCGGAACGACACGCGAAGCGGCGTGTGCAGAAGAGAATAGAAACATTTATAAGCAATAAAAAATACAGTGGTACAGATAAAAATAGGTAATGGAAATGAAAAACCGGATTAAGAGGAGACAGGCGACAAGGCAATGCGATTTCAAGGCAGAGCAGCCAAGCGAGGGAGCCTGTTGAGTGTTAGCAACATCCTAGCTAATGCAGCGACCAACGACTTAGTTGGAAGCTATGGTTCACAGGCCAGGTTTGGAGATCCTATCAACTCTATGCCATACTGCATGAAAAGGACTCGAGGGTCCGAAAGAAAAGAGTAAGAGATTGCATGTGAAGAAGAAGGTTTGATATTTCATCAGCGTGATGTCTGTAGTACCAATTATTTCTCTGCACTCTTGCAAGACTTGCTTGGCAAGTCAATAGACATATTAAGAACTTCAGAAGCAAAGAGAAGTTAAAAAAAATAATGTTACTAAAAAAAGAAACTTGCGTATTGTGTGTTCGTATGTTTGTTCCTAAAGCCCTTCCCACACCTTCAAGTTGTGGTAAATGGGGGATTCGGCCAACTCGCTGAAAGCCGACTCATCGACAGTCAATTCGTAGTATAGGCCAATTTGTTGTAGGACAATTCATCAAAAGGCAACTTGTCGAAAGGCAACCTGGGACTGTCATTTAACCCATTCGAGGCCGATTCCTCGAATGGGTTAAATGACGGTCCCAGGTAAAAGTTCATGGTTCCTTGTTATCTTTTGATCTAAATTTTTATTTGTGTTTGGACTAGGGACAGCGGTCTTTTTAGGTTTTAGGACAGTACCTTGAGACAAGTTTAGAAATGTAAATTTCGGGATTGTCCTTTTGCTAGTTTTCTTTATTACTTTTTGTAATGAGCCGCTGCGGACTGTTGCCGCGAAGCAGCGTGGACGGGTAGGCCAAGCAAACTCACACGTGCCACAGTGATGCACACGCGACGTAGTAACTGTCCCCCACTGCACCGTGAAAGTGGAGAAAGCTGCAAGTTGTTATCTTCGACAAGAAAGAGCGCACTGGATGTTTATTACGATACGGCGATATTACGCATTACTATAGGGCAGGATTTGCTTTAACATTTCAGGACAAAATTATATATTATGGCTTTGAAACAGCGGCGACCAGTTGGCGTCTTCGACTAATTTTTCTTCGACGATTTGCCTTATGACGATTCGGCCTATTCGACAAATGGGCTGCTGACGAGTTTACCGTCGATGAGTTGGCTTTCGGTGAGTTGGCCTAGACTCGGTAAATGGTAGTGCCAGTAAAATCTGAATTTAGGCGTTGTTTCTTGTTTCCCTTATTTAAATTAATGAACAAGTGCCAATTTCTTTGTAAATTTTATTAAAGAAATGCCGTGGCATATTTCCTGAACTTTCAATTTTTATATTTTCTTTTGTGAAGTTCGCTAAAGATTTCGAGAGGCTCACGAAGATGAACCTGGCCGACAAAGTCGCAAAAGGGATTGACAAGATCGTTCTGTTGGCCACAAAGAAGGCGATCGACTGCCAGGAGCATGTCCTACTTACACTGCAAGCAGCACCGCACATGGATCTGGGGAGGCTCAGGACACGGCGTGAGTACAGTAAGAAAACCGCTGCGCAAGGGAGGCTTTTCGACCAAGCGATAAAATACCACCATTCAATGCATGCATGGGAAAAGATAGTAAAAAAACAAACAAAAAACTTTCAGTCTTTCTCTTTTGTTGAGGAAGGAAGACTAGCGGAGCTGCACTATGGTGGGAATGAAGTAATGGCCGATCGCTAGTCGGCAAGCCAGAGTGGAAAGGTTGCGGCCATCTATGATGGTTGCTGCCGTCTCCTATATATGGCGGTAGCTGTCCAGAGTTCTGTGTCATCGGGTTATTTGAGGACTGACACGACCCTGGGGAAACTAGCCGCTAACAGCTCCACTGTAAAAAAAATAACCGAGTTTATGTGTGCAACCACGTTGGCGCATTGCTCGGCTGAGAAGTAAGCGAAACTATAGCTTTCAAAATGCGGCCTTTAGGGTGGGCTGCTTTGTGCTGGCCTCCCCTGTATTGAAAGATGGAACGTGACTGGCACTCTCGCTATCAGCGCGCTCGGAAACAATAGTGCTACGTGCTGCAATTTTGCCACTCTGGTCGTTGGTCGCTCGTGCTAATCTTTTTCTGCTGCAGCTGTACATGCGCAGCGCCTTGGCAGAGGAGAACCCTCTGCCAAGGTGCAGGCAGCGTGGTGGAGGGCCGTAGAGGACAGACATTTGGGCTGCACACCAGTGTATGGGGAATAACTTTGGGAGTTTGTATCATACTCCCAAGGTTATTTCCCCGTGGTGATTTGAATTGTTTCATACCATTTGGTGACATGTCCAATGGCTTATCTATAATATTATGTTGCACCCATTTAGGTCGTTCTGGTGTGTTGCCTTCTTTTCTTTTAGTGGGGACAGGCTTGGCCAAGTGAACATCTTAGTATTTGTCTGAAGTTCCCTCATTGTCACTGATCCTACTGGAAGATAAGCAGAACAATGCATACATTTTTTTTCTGAAACCGTCCAGGACACGTGCAACGAAGAGTACAAAAATGTATTTGATATCTTGCACAAATGTTGTTGGTGTTTTTCAGACATCCTGACTGTTGCAACTCTGCGCATTTTGGCACTGAACGTCAAGGAGTCAACATCACTGCCCCTAATGTTCGTGCAAGAAGATGTAAGTTATTTCACTATATTTTTGCGAAAGTTGATGCTAGCAAGAACAAAGTTCCAGTTTACCTTCAATGTAGCAGGGTTAAATAAATGCTAACTAAAGAGGTTTTTTTGTTCTTTTTTGTGGGTAGAGTGTTCGTTTTTTTTTTTGTTTTCACGGTATGTTTTTTCATAGTGCCCGCAGGGGCTAGAATTGGAGCCTTCTGAATACATATTAGTGACCATGTTGATGTCAAAGGAAACAAACATGTGAAATGCACATGAATACAAGTCCTGAAAAACCAATGAAGGCTGGAAGGCGGCAGGCATGCTGATCTTTCTAGGGTTTTCAATACAGAGACAGTGTAGCGTGTTAACTGGCTTCCAACAGTTCAATAGCAGCTTGTTCACCTGGCCCCTTTTGTTAATGGGGTGTCCCAAACATTAGGCCCACCAGGCCCCAAATACTTCTGTAACGCTCAAGAGATAATGGCCACCTAAATTACAGAGATATAAAGTAAAAATTTGAGGCGAACCAAGTTTCGGGTACAATGGCTGAAACGCCAAAAACCTAATAGTCTGGCTTCCAAAACACAGCCATGCTCAACGTGCCTCATGCTGGATTTTCACTGCTCCGGTTGGTGTTCGGACGGGAGAGATATGGCCAGCGACTGCACATAAAATGTAAATGTAGCTCGTGAAAATTAATTTATACAACTACATACGAGACATTGTTATGTTTGCTGTTTTCTGGAACCTTCATCTTTGGGTTTTTTTAGTGTAGAGGAGGAAGCAAAAAAATTAACATTGGCCAACGAACAAATAATAGCATGTACCGTTATGGTCAGTCGGTAGCCCTGTACGGTTCATAAATGCGGGGTGGCGAGGTAAGCAGGGTGCGTCCGTGGCAGACATAGATTGTAGCACCTGAGCTGCCTGCCTTCTGTCGGTGTTTGCCCCCTTTTTTCTCCTTGAAACTTGTCTGCCCTTGGCTATGTTCGCTGATACCGATAAGAACCCATTATTGCACCCAATGAGCGCTGACGACCGATGACACTGCCTGACAAAGCGCGTCTGCGCAAACATCCCTGCTTTTTGTCTTCTCTTCCTTCTGCACGTATTGTTTCTCATCTGTGCATTTGTTGGTGTCCTCTTATCCAAACAATAACCTCAAATGTACACAGGAAGGCTGCTGTCCGCATAAAGAAACCAGGCCACTGTAAAAGTGAGATGTGATAGCAAAGCAAAAAATCACTCTCATGGTGAAAACGAACCAGTGATGCGTCAGATTTTTGGCGTGACTTTTATTTTTTTTATCTCCAGACCTGTACTCATTTCCAACAATAAATAAGTCTAGCAGCGTATCATAATGCATCGGAAAAGTATCTCACTATTGAAATGCAAATAGGTTTCACAAATGCATCTTCATACTGAAATAGAGATACTAAAATATATCTCTAAGCTTATATCGCAATATTTTCATGTCGTGATGTTTCCCCAATTGTAATTCCTCATTCATTTTACATTGTTGCAGATGCCGGTTACTTATTTAAACATAAGCAATGCTCATGGCCTGAACTGGAGTGAATAATAGCAGTTGACAAGAGCAAACATGTTTTGGCCTTCTACATTAAAATATGTTGTGCCTTTTCCTTTTACCTAACGCAGGATGAAAACATCCCACCGACACCGTGTGTCCTGTACAGCGGGCAAGACTTAGAGGATGCAGACTTCTTTCACCTGGTTGTTGATCGTGAGAGGTTGTTCTCCGTTCCAAATGCCGAGGAGGGGCTGTGTATGTTGTTGGCAGCCTATTGGTTGTTCAGTATACAATATGAACGGAAGGCCTTCAACATGCTCGTCACTCTGGAGAGGCTTTTTCTCGGCATGAGCCACACAACTCCAAGGGCAGTGGTAATTAAATTTTTAAACAAAGTTTGCAGGCACGTGCATGGTTGAAGCAATGATTTGTGCTTCAACCACACGCGCATTAACTGCTTCGTTACGGTTCAGTTTGAGCTTTTTCTTTTTTTTTTTTTTTTTACGGTGTTAGTTTGCAGGCTCTGTAAAAATGGATGTCCACCCACGGGACAGTGGGGCTTTACAGTTCAAGTAAGGAAAATGAACACATATTTTATTCAACATTTTATAAGTTAATTTTTACAAAATAGGTTTTGGGAAGAATAGCAAAACTGGAGTGATACCGGCAGAGAAATGAGGCTCATTTATTGGTACGAAAATCAAAGAAGCAGTGCCAGTCAGTTTCAGTGCAGAGGTAGATTTCACAGGACGTGCAATGGTGCTGAGTTTTCTTTGAGGAGCCAGGGTTCCTGCACTGTGTAGCATTCTTGACGTCTTCTTTCTTTGGCACGTGAAGTGCCTGCGCCGTCTGGACTGGCGAGTTCGGCAGTGGCTTGACTCTCTTGCGCGGAACCTGTGGCACCGCACAAACTTTCTAAAATGGCATCAGCCTGACTTGTTAGTCCTGAAAATCGAGCACAATCAATCAAACCAATTGTTTTCACTTCGCGAGTGTTTCAGATTGGTGCGAGCAAAACATGATCATCGCGAAATTCGTGTCATAAGTTTTGGGTCCCAGCGTCCACCCACGTAGACAGTTTGACAAGGGACTACTATAACCCTTGCTAATACTGTTGAAAATATTAAGCATTAGTGACCATCTGTGAACTTTCAAGAACTCTAGAAATATAAATTAACACAGCCTCCGTTTGTGTAAATCACATAAACTGATTACATACCTTGGCGTCGCCCGTAGAACATGCGAGTGCTGCAGGTCGCCATTTTTAACAGCAAGCAACAAGTTTTCAGTGCTGTTTGCTCAACACTCCTCCAGATGGCAGCACAGACTACGTCCATGACGGTGGACAGGCGTCCTTTTCTGTGTGCAACGAAGTTTTTTTTTTTTTTTCTTCTTCTTACAATTCAAAACCCAATGTTTACACTGGTGGACGCAGGGTCTCAGGAGGTTATACAGGGTGTTTCACGAAAGGTGGACAAATTCAATATTGCAAAAACTGCTCGAAGGCTTGTGTCGTTTTGGCCCTGGGCTCGAGGCCTATTTAGGAAAACTTTTGAAGTCCGGGATAATTGGATTGTTAATTATTTTTGAGTAACTGACTTTTTAGTATTGTGTTTTAGGTTATGGTTTCAATTAGAAAATTGCTCAGCATCATTGAAAAACACTAGGTCAACATATTACACAACAATAGAAGGCACGTGCAGCATCTTACGACTTTCTGAAAAACCTCACAAATGGGATAGGTTTTTAAGTTTCGGTTTGCTATTGGAGCGCATCTCGACCTCGACGGCACCATGCCCCGTGGAGAAATGGTGCAACCAGCCTCTGCTGCGTTGCGCAAGGACATCGCAGCAGAGGTTGCTTGCGCCATTTCTCCATGGGACGCGGTGCAATCGGGGCCGAGATGTGCTCCAATTGCAAAACGAAACTTAAAAACCCGTCGAATTTGTACTGTTTTTCAGAAAGCCGTAAAATGCTGTGCACGCCTTCTGTTGTTGTGCAATATGTTGATCTAGTGTTTTTCAATGATGCTGAGCAATTTTCTAATTAAAACCATAACCTAAAACACAATATTAAAAAGTTAGTTACTCAAAAATAATTAACAATCTAATTATCCCGGACTTTAATCATTTTCCTAACTAGGCTCCTCGTCCAGGACCAGAATGACACAAGCCTTTTTTTTTGTTGCGACCCATAGTTTTCGCAATATCGAATTTGTCCACTTTTCGTGAAACACCCTCTATGTGGATATTGCACTTTTCGCGACAGTATTATCAGGTTAATTTTTATTTTGCTTACAGAACAAATGATAGAATGTTTTATGGAGGCATTTTTTCTTTTTCTGTCTTTAAATGTATAACTTATGCCGACCTCCTGTAGGTGAGGTATAATTTATCTGTACGGGGGTTCCTCATTCCTAGTCACTTTCGAAAACTTTATAATTTTCTTTGTACTTGAGATTTCTGTGATATTTTTCATTACATGTTGGCAGATAGCATTGTTTATGTCAAGGAATGGCATACATTGTATTTTTTTTTCGTTTGTCTTTTAGGGCACAATAAATGTTCAATTTTACACATTCTAATTGATGTCATAATGAGCTTCACTTACTGAAATACTGCTGTGGTTCAGTCAAGGGCTAGACCGCCATGCTTCCAATTAGTAAATAGATAAGCTTAAGGAGATGAGTGAAGCGTGTTTCCTGCAATCCTCTGAGACAAAACTTGGCACTTGATCTCCAAACAGGAAAGCTCCACATGCTTCATTTGTAAAAGCCCATTATGTTTATAACTATGGTTTAGCCGTGCAGTACGATGCTTGGGGCCACTGCTTGCTCACTTGAAGTTCGAGAAAGGGCGGCACCGGAAGCACTACCAGTTGCCCTCAGGCTTATGATGTGGCTTGCAAGTAGCTCTTTTGTATTACTTCATGAAGTGAGTTGCGTTCAATGTGACTCGTTCTTTCTTTATCATGTGCCTTGTATGTGATTTGGCAATACCCCCCCAGGTGAAAAAAAGTAAATGTGTTTAGTAAACATGATAAGCTGAGAATCATGATAAGAATATCCAATACTTTATATGATTTTCGTACAATTTAGAATTTCTGATATGTGTATTGGACACATGCCTATAAAATTTTTACTAGGGCCTATGCTTCATTTCAGCTTTCGTCCGAGTGCGGCAGACGCTACCGGCCAATCCAGCATCGGCAGAGTGTCATGTGAGCTTGAACTCCACATAACCAAAACGTTGCATGATACTCTCCCGGCACTGGATTGGCTGGGGTGGCCCAGCATCCACTGGGCCACCCCAGGGGGCGCCCATTTTACGGCAAGCACCCTCTACCAGGGGTGTTTGGCAAGCACCCATTATAAAGGGTGTTTGCCTGAACACCCTAAGGGTGTTAGCCCTGGGACAAACTGGTGTACACCCTTAAGGGTGTAAAAACTTTTAGTGTGTATTCACTGGCGGCCATAACCGTGTGCGCTGCTGCTGAGCGCGTGCCGACGGCGAGCTTCCGCAGTCCTTTTGGAGCGTGCATTTAACACCATCAAGGTTGCCGGCCTTAGCACGCTATTAATGTGAGCTCGTTCTGAGCATGCGCTCTAAACACTGACCGCAAATATGGCGTCCAGTGAATACCTCCTATACGGAGTACCTCACGCTGCAGTACCGTGGATCCTAAATTCACTCCCCATCCCTGCCCGTTTCCATCTGGATGAGCATCGCATACCGGCTTGCGGTCGTGTGTAACTACTGCGTGATGCACCTTAAAGACCCCAGTCTGTCTATGCTGGAAAAAGCGGTGGAGAAACTGCATCGTGACGTCGCCGGTGGGAGGAGCATAATCTCCATCGCCAACAAACTACATCGGAAGAGAACTGCACCGTGACGTGTCCGGTGACGTCGCCGAACAGTAGCGATTGAGTTGAAACGACATCGTTCTTTTTTTCCCTACAGGGAATTTCGGAGAATCGCCGAGTAGGCTAGCGCACACCAGCTCGGAGCACGTGGAGCGAAAGCTCACGCTGCAGAACCCCGGGATCGTGGGTTCAATGCCCGCTCCCGCCCGTTTCGATCTGCTGGATGAGCATCGTACCGGCGTGCGATCGTGTACTGCGCGATGCACGTTAAAAACCCCGGGCTAGCAGTCGTACTGCACTGGCTAAATTGCTTATCTACAGTGGGTAACAATGTTGCCATATTCAGGCAGACTAACCTCCTGCTGTATAAATAACCAACGACAAATTTTACTTTTTGACTATATTTGACTGCGTTAGTGCAACTTCTCTCGTGCTGCACGAGAAAGAAAGAATTTGACTCCTTCTGGAGTCAAATTTGCGGTGAAATAGGAAGCAAAAAAGAAGAAAATAGAATATTTCCCTCAAGTTGGGTTCGTAGTAGAAGAGGGGGAAGAAGAAAATCAGTTGTTAGTCCCACGGTGTGTATGGTCTGTTCTTTATGTGTATGCTTATTCTAGTCCAGCTGGCCTGATCTGAAGTAGTTGTTTTAAAATAAAGCATATATCTCTCTCTCTCTACCTGAAGTATTAACGAACTAGCTCAACTTAAGCCTGTTACCGTTGCTTGCTTGGTTTTTCGCTCAGCCAAATCGCTTATATGGGGTGCACTCAAATGAAAACACAATCGTGTTAAATCGTGTAAGAGTATTTAGAATATTTATCGATAACACCGCTGAACTTGCATCGCTCGAAGAACTTCCTTTTTGTGAGCGCCTTCTCTGCTTGAGTTTGTTGGAAACACAGCCATTTCGATCCGAGGCAATTGATGATAGCGTTGGTGCCATCACCAAGTACGGGACTCACAGAGCACTGGTGAACACCAATGTTTTCGTCGCTCCCGACGGTTCCCTGGAAGCCGCCAGCGGCGTAAAAGCGTAGAGCTGCGAGGACTTGTTCGACCGTCAGCACACGGAGCCCTCCAAGACAACGCTGGAGCTTTCCGCGAAGCTGGTCACACAGCCAGCGAGTCACCCCTTTGGTCAACCGGTATTCGCCCACAAACCTCATATCGCTCGGCTCGAAAGCATCCCGGTGATCTCTAAAAACTCGATCCGCTGGCGAACCCAACAGTAGAGATGCATATGTTAGGGTCGCCATGTTTTACGATGCAGATTGATTTTCGGCTTCGCATCGACCACTCAGTTAACTGCATCGTCAAAGTGCATCGTGACGACATTTTGACGTCATCGCCAACTGCATCATTTTACGAGCATAGCTCGAACAGCATAGCGAAAAACTACATTTCAACGTCATGTCACGTGACCCGAGAAAAGAGCCAATCAGTGCCTGATGCAGTTATCTACATCATGCAGTTTGCGTTCCAGCATAGATAGACAGGATAGCGGTTGTACTGCACTGGCTAAATTTCTCATCTAAAGCTGGGATACAAGTTGCCCGTTGAGGCAGACTAAGTGCTAGGCCGCATTCGCGACTCCAGCGACCTCTAGGGGACGCCCCTATCGGGCAAATATGGCGGTCGAATCCAGGTCGTGCCGTGCCATCTGCCAGCTCAACGCACAACGCTGGGGCACCAGCAAGTAAGCATTGGAGTCAACATTGGTTCTCCCGCCTTTTATCTTCCACGTTTCGAACCTGCTGCGATCTGTTAGCGTAAGCGCGCTTCCAGAGGCTTGACTTTTTTGAGGAAGCGAGGAAAGGACAGCATACTGTCCTTCCACGGTGCTGATGAACGTTTATAAACGCAGAATGTCCGGCTCACGCGGTTACATAGGTCACGTGCAGAGCAACCTGGGTCACAAGGTGATACTACGGTTACGACACAGTCACCGGTAGAACTGTTCTGTTGCGCAAACCACCGGAAACACGTAAACACGGAAGCCAGAAGAGACGAGCAGAAATCGCGAAAGGACCTGTTCCGGTCAGTTCAGTGTTTTCCCGCTAGGTGCCGTTCGTTTTGCCGGAGTCGCGAATAAACATACACACACCCCAAATTATTATTATTTCGATCTCCTGCCCAATACACAATTCCAATATTTACAAGTCGTCAGCCCAGCATGCGCATGTTCGTCGCTTCGGAAAGCGGGCAAATCGCGCTCCATACGCACGAACATTGAAAGTAGAACCGGCTCGGAGCCCTTTTTTGAAAAGGTCAAACATAGAGCTCACTGGTGCGCCATGCGTGCAAGCACGTGCAGCGTGCGTCCGATTGTACTCGTAGCTTTAACAAGCTTGTTATTGCATATCTGCACGAGCAGACGCATGGCGGCGGCCGACAGAACGCGCTCACGAAAACAAAAATGCAAACTAATTGCCGTCGTAGAAGAGTCAGTGCTAAGAGCTCATGCAGGGGCACGCTTTTTCAAGCGCTCCAGCGCGAAGGATATATAGACTAAGGGGAGAAAGAAGAA